CCCCTGAACCCGACGGCCTGTATACGCCGACCACCAGGACCAGGCTGTCGGCATAACTTTGAATAAGCCGACGGGAGCCGTCGGCATTGTTTTGGCCGTCGGGGTAGCACCCTGTTCCGGTAGTGATGCCCCAATCCCGATCGCACTCGGCCTGACTTGCCTCATTGCCTGAGCGTTGGCGCCGCTGCCGTGCAAGTCGACCCTGACTGCTTGGCGTTGCGCCGCTAGGTGCCGTGCGGTCGCCTCCTGGCTGCTGGACTTGGCTGCTCGTCAGATAGCGATCGATCGGAAGCAATCAAACCAGCCGAGACCGATCGGAGAAGGAAACGACCAATGTGACCCGGGCTCGAAGCCCAAAACTGTATCGAGCATCACATATTGTAGTGAGAGAGCAAACTAGTAGTATTCTCATCCGGCATATGTACATTCTCATCCAGCAAGATCTGGACGACTACACCCCAACACAACAAGATCAGAGAGTGACCTTCAGTTTAATGCAAACCCTTCCTGCTATGCTATGCTCTGTGTCACTAAGAGATAGAGGAACTAGAGATAGAGAGATAGAAGATAGAGAAGATAAGATACAGATAGAAGAATCAGAGATAGATTTAGAGAAGATAGAGACAGAGATATGTACTTAATTATTTTTCATGCATCTTTTGGGAATAAAATTAGTTACTGTGCATTTCTCTCCCTTAGAGCACCTAAGGCCAGAATTGCCTAATCCGGATCCCTATACGTCTGCGGACATGCCCGCAGAAAGTGATCGGACATGCCTCACATGCAAACACAAACACAAACACAAAGTGGCCAGAATTTTGCTATTTGCAAACATCAAATACATGCAAAAACATGTGTGTCAATCATTTTGGTCAAACAGTGCACGGGCAGTCCAAACGTTTGGGCCGGCTGTGGGAACCCGGTTGGATACTAGTATTTTTTTCGTCAGTGACGGGCAGCCCACTCGAGCGTTTACGGCGGATCCGAGGGTCTGATTGTAGATACTTTTATGGCATCAAATCTCCAAGATAAGACGAACATTAATGGGCCAAATCCATTATTCCTTCCATCAGCACAATCGTATGCAAACTGTGCGCACACTCAATGGCTATCATCGTGGCAAAATAATAAACGGTCCCAAACGGAAACATGTGCATGTAACCAAACTCGGGTTCACAAGGCTTATGTCCGCCTACCTGATCAAGGTAGCGCGTCCATAACCTTCCCTCTTTGAAGGCACCGGTGAGAGGCATGACACTAAACCCAGTTAGGACCCCCCATAAGGCAAGTGTGGCTGCATGTAAACATGGACAGATGGAGTATTTCCATTCTATTAGCTTCAGAAAAAAAGGAAATCACAAAATTAATTCTATAAGCTTGATAATAATTCAATTCTATAAGGAAACAAAATTTTCGTCCAAACATACTTGCAAAGTTCACTGATCTGGAATTGCAGGTTCCAAGAGTTTATTGGTCGATCCAAATGATCATGGACTCGCAACCAGAGCTGTTACCAGGTTCACACATCCTCGATCGGCGGCTAGCTAGCTACAACATGGTCGTTATGGCGAGAGCGATAGAGCAGCCCTTGGAGAACTCGGCGTCCTCGGCGGCCAGCGGCGACACGACACCCAGCTCGCGGAACCTTTCCTCGCAGGTGTCGGTGCCCAATATCACGCCTGTGAGGTTCATCTTCGCCTTCTGCAAATTACCCGACTTGACGCCCTCCGCCGCGGCTTCGAGCGATTTCAGCGCGGCCGTGTAGTGCATGCGGCAGTCGGAGAGGCGCCCGCTGACCTTCTTGTCCGTCACCGAGGCCTTGAGGGCATCGATCCGCTTGCGGATGTTCGCGGCTTCTCCTCGGGTGATCTTCGTGGCGATGACGACGAGGCCGCGCCTGTCCGCGGTCGCGCTAGCGCTGTCGGCCTGAAAGAACTTGATGCAGTAGTCGTAGCCGATGTCCTTCTTGCTTGCGCCGACGGACTTGCATGTGTTGTCTAGAGTGGAAGACTCGGAGGAAACGAGGATGAAGAGGAGGACGATGAGACAGGAGGGAGCTTGCCAATGCCTCATCATGGTTCTTTTTTTTGGCACGATTGCCGTACATGTGTTGTTTGATAACAAATCGTTTGTAGATGGTGCATATATATAGCCATGATTGATACAAAAATACCTCATGAGTATATCAATCTTCAAATTTGAACAATCCGATGAAAAAGGTATATATTGCAAAAATATTATGTTTTGCTATTAATAAATTACTCCCCCGATCCATATTAATTGTCGCCGATTTAGTCCAAAGTTGTATTAAATCACCGAGAATTAATATGGAACATTACTCTCATCGATCCATGTTAATTGTTGCTCATTTAATATAAAGTTGTACTGAATCACTGAGAATTAATATGGATCGAAGGGAGTAATTGTATTCCTTTTTGGACTCAAGTTATTCCTGACAAAACTTGGGGGTGTTTATGCCAAAAATATTGGGATGTCCAACTCAAAAAGAAAATTTGGGAGGGGAAGGGTGTTGCGGCATTTCCTATTTCTCGCATTCCGAATGCCGAGCGAGCAACGGAAACAGGCAGGGCCATTGAACTATACACTGGTTCCCCAGTTTTGGGATCCTTCTCGAAGTTCCCGTCTGATTTCTATTATTTTTATTTTATTTTTCTGTTTTTTCTGATTTTCTTCGGCTTCTTTTTTTATCTCAAAATGTTTCCCTTTTCAGAAATTTTCAGAAATTATTTGATATTTCAAAAAATGTCGTGTTCTCGAATATTGGTTTGAATTTTGAAAAATGTTGTTAGTTTTAAAATTTGTTTGCAAATTAAGAAAAAACGTGTTTCAAAATAGTTTGGGAAATTCAAAACATGATAATGTTTTCCAAAAAAATGTTCTCCTTTTCCATAAAATCCAAAATTTGGATAAATATCTTGATTTCTCAAAAATCAAAAAATTGAAGAAAAAGTTTGACTTTCCAAAATATGTCATCTTTTCGCTACAATTCCCGCTCCGGCGCCATTGGGTCGATCTAGTCGGGGTTGCCATGTGCATTTCAACATCTTTTTGTGTCGCAAAAAGCGAGGACCATGTCCTCTCGAGTGCCGACGACATGAAGAGCCCAACCTCCGTTGGGCCACAATCATCATGATGTTGTTGCCACCGCCGCCTGCTGCGGCGCTATACTAACATCCACCCTCAACTGCCCAAGACTTCGAGTCGCCAGCCCTACCTCCGTCCGGGCTGCCTCGCCCCACCACCAAGTTTTGAGAGATAACTATTTATATCTACAATACCAAATATATGAAGTATGAAGGTTCATCTTATAATGAATGCAATAATGATGTAAGTTTGGCATTCTAGTGTAAATATTTTTCTCCACAAATTTGGTCAAAGTTTCCGATGCTTGAATTTTCAAAAATCTATATGCACTACATTACGGAATAGAGGGGGTACTCAATTTCATTTTTATGGTATATGTACTGATGTATCTTTGTGTTGGGGGAAATATGTACTTCATTATCTTGTAAACATCTTTTGCATAAAAAAATTGGTCAGCGTGCGCATCTAATATCATGGCATGATATATCCAAAGTAATCATGAGCATTAATTCTTGATATCCATTTAGTCAATCGCCTCGATCATATGCAAATTGTGTGAGGTTAATGTCTGGTTGCTATTTCCGTTCACCACAAAATCTGTTCTTACCAAAAAAAAAAACTGCCAAAACGTACTTGCAAAGTTCATTGATCTAAAATCGTGGGTTCCAATATTTTATTGTTGCTAGAACGGTTTGTCAGATTCACATATCCTAGCTAGCTACAACGTGCTCGCTATACTGAGAGCGATGGAGCACCCCTTGGTGAACTCGTAGTCCTCGTCCGCCACCGGCGACCTGACGCCCAGCTCCCGGAATCCTTCCTCGCACACGTCGGGGTTCTCCAACGGCGTTGAGGTTCGCCTCCGCGTCCTGCAAATGGCTCGACTTGACGGCCTTCGCCGCCGCGTCGAGCAGGTGCAGTGCGCTCGAGTACAGCGCGTGGCAGTCGGAGAGGCGCCGGGCGATCTTCCTGTTCGTCTCCAAGGCCTTGAGAGCGTTGATGCGGTTGCGGGTGTTGGCGGCCTCTGCTCGGATGATCTTCGCGGCGATGATGACGAGGCCGCGCTTGTCGGCGGTGGCGCTGGCACTGTGAAGGCTCGGAAGAACCTGATGCAGTAGTCGTAGCCAATGTCATCGTTGCTTGCGCCTAAGGACTTGCACACGTCGTTTAGGATGGAAGCGCTTGACGAGACAAAGAGAGAGAGCAGGACGATGCAGGAGAGAGCCTGGCAAGCCCCCATGGTTTGTGGCACGCACGATTGCCTTGACTTGATGAGTAGTATATCTGATGCTTATGATGCTGATAACAAATCATATCCAGATGGTGCTTATATAGCCGTATTGTAAATACAAAAATATACTTGATGAGTATATATCAATATCAATCTTGGGCGGAAAATTTAATGTCAGTTTAATTCTTTTTTCTTCTTAGAAAAATAATTAAATGAATATTATTTTTTCGATAGTAATAAATAAACAAAATCAATCTATAACATTGAAGGGGAGAGATCAATCAAGATCAATCTATGGAGTAATTTCTACGTATCACCAAGATCAATCTATGGAGTAACTAGCAATGAGAGAGAGGGGATTGCATCTTCATACCCTTGAAGATCGCGAGACGAAAGCGTTGCAAGAACGCGGATGAAGGAGTCGTACTCGAAGCAATTCAGATCGCGGTGGATTCCGATCTTAGCGCCGAACAACGGCACCTCCACGTTCAACACACGTGCAGCTCGATGACGTCTCCCGCGCCTTGATCCAGCAAGGAGGAGGGAGAGGTTGAGGAAGATGGCTCCAACAGCAGCACGACGGCATGGTGGTGATGGAGTGGCAGTTCTCCGGCAGGGCTTCGCCAAGCTCGCGCGGAGGAGGAGAGGTGTTGGGGAGGGGCTGCGCCTTGGATGTGGTGCTGCAGCCCTCCCCTCACCCCTCTATTTATAGGGAGAAGGGGGAAGGGGGCCGGCCCCTCTAGATGAGATCTAGAGGGGGGCGGCCAAGGGGGAGGGGGCTTGCCCCCCAAGCAAGGGGGGCGCCCGCCTTAGGGTTCCCCCCAACCCTAGGCGCATGGGCCCTAGGGGGGGTTGGCGCCCAACCCACTTAGGGCTGGTTCCCTTCCACCTACAGCCCATAAGGCCCTCCGGGGAGGTGCCCCCTCCCGGTGGACCCCCGAAACCCCTCCGGTGGTCCCGATACAATACCTGTATACCCCTGAATATTTCCGGTGATTGTATGATGACTTCCCATATATAGATATTCACCTCTGGACCATTCCGGAACTCCTCGTGACGTCCAAGATCTCATCCGGGACTCCGAACAACATTCGGTAATCACATACAAATTTTCCTTATAACCCTAGCATCATCGAACCTTAAGTGTGTAGACCCTACGGGTTCGCAAATCATGCAGACATGACCGAGATAGCTCTGCGGCCAATAACCAACAGCGGGATATGGATACCCATGCTGGCTCCTACATGTTCCATGATGATCTCATCGGATGAACCATGGTGTCTAGGATTCAAGTAATCCTGTATACAATCCCTTTGTCAGTCGGTACGTTACTTGCCCGAGATTCGATCGTCGGTATCCCAATACCTCGTTCAATCTCGTTACCGGCAAGTCACTTTACTCGTTCCGTAATGCATGATCCCGTGACCAACTACTTAGTCACATTGAGATCATTATGATGATGCATTATCGAGTGGGCCCAGAGATACCTCTCTGTCATACGGAGTGACAAATCCAAGTCTCAATTCGTGCCAACCAAACAGATACTTTCGGAGATACCTGTAGTGCACCTTTATAGTCACCCAGTTACGTTGTGACGTTTGGTACACCCAAAGCACTCCTACGGTATCCGGGAGTTACACAATCTCATGGTCTAAGGAACTGATACTTGACATTAGAAAAGCTTTAGCAAACGAACTACACGATCTTGTGCTATGCTTAGGATTGGGTCTTGTCCATCACATCATTCTCTCTAATGATGTAATCCCGTTATCAATGACACCCAATGTCCATGGTCAGGGAACCATGACCATCTGTTGATCAATGAGCTAGTCAACTAGAGGCTCACTAGGGACATGTTGTGGTCTATGTATTCACACATGTATCACGGTTTCCGGTCAATACAATTACATCATGAATAGTAGACAATTATCATGAACGAGGAAATATAATACTAATCATTTTATTATTGCCACCAGGGCATATTTCCAACAATTTTGACCTGTGGACGCAATCAATTCACAAAATGAATTGCCCTAAAACTATTTCACTTGGCTGACCTTTTTGAGTGGTGCCAACACGGAGGCGCCACACCCTACGATGCAGCGCCTAGCTCTGGGGCGTTGAACCTCTATCCATCGTGGCAGCCCCTGGGCCCGCACCCAGCAGTGCAACGCCTCCGAGCTAGGCGCCACACATGTAACGTGGAGCGCCTAGCCCTTAGGCGTTGTACTGATTGTTACTAGTTGCCCGGCCCCCCTCCCCCACTCCCCCATACACACCCCAACCCCCAATCCCATCACACCCGAGATCTGCCCCCTCTCCCCTCTCCCGCCTCTCAAATCCTTCCCCAAATCTTCCAAATTTGAAGATTTTGTCCGTGGATGTCGAACTCAAACCCTCCCTCAAGGTAATCTTCTCCGATCCCCTTGTTTTGATCCAAGTAATGTTAACAAATTGCTCATTTGTTGTTAGTTTGGGGAAACCCTAGTTTTGTATGGATCTAGAGATTTGCATGTTGATGTGAGATGTTTGTTTGTCAATTTCCTATGATTAGGCTTGTTAGTATGTTAGTGTTATTCTTATGGGTGTTCTTATGTTGGTGCTAGGGTTAAGGTTAGGGTTGTTGTTTCATATATATGTTAGGGTTTGTATTCCGTGTTAATCTTTGGATTAGTACTCATGGAAGAAATGTTACGTTGTGTTGTTTGAATGCTTATAGGGATGGGAAGAACATGTGTGTTTGTTCATCATGGGGACAAAGACTCCTTCTTGAAAGGCAATATTGAACCGGACCCGGATGAGCTTGACATGGTGTTTGGTAATAGTCCTAGCTATGCGGAGCTCTTGCAACAAGTGAGGAAAGATTTGAATTGGATGGACCCTAGTGATATAGTTGAGTTGGAGGGAAGGCATAATGTTGGTTTTGGAATGCACATCCGTTGGAAGACAATGCGTGTGAACTCGGAGCAATGTTGGGTTGCATACAAGGAGACGGTGGCCGAATCACGAGACAAGGCTCTTGAGTTATTTGCAACGAAGAAGGTTGATTCAAGTTTGCATTTGGATTTGAACCAAAACCCCTCCCCTTTGGTTGCTAGTTGCCCCCCACCCTTGAACCGAGATGAAATTGTTGGACCTCTTATGACCTAAGAAGTGAGGCCAACATTGAGCCCATTTCAAAACAATCAAAATGAAGCTTTGCAAGAGGAGAATGATGAGTATGCGGACGATGACAATGAAGTTGATCTCTGTCGGTGTCAAAACCGGCGGATCTCGGGTAGGGGGTCCCGAACTGTGCGTCTAGGTGGATGGTAACAGGAGACAAGGGACACGATGTTTTACCCAGGTTCGGGCCCTTTTGATGGAGGTAAAACCCTACGTCCTGCTTGATTGATATTGATGATGTGGGTATTACAAGAGTAGATCTACCACGAGATCAAGGAGGCTAAACCCTAGAAGCTAGCCTATGGTATGATTGTTGTTCGTCCTATGGACTAAAGCCATCCGGTTTATATAGACACCGGAGAGGGCTAGGGTTACACAGAGTCGGTTACAATGGTAGGAGATCTACATATCCGTATCGCCAAGCTTGCCTTCTACGCCAAGGAAAGTCCCATCCGGACACGGGACGAAGTCTTCAATATTGTATCTTCATAGTCTTGGAGTCCGGCCGATGATGATAGTTAAGCTATCCGGACACCCCCTAGTCTAGGACTCCCTCAGTAGCCCCTGAATCAGGTTTCAATGACGGCGAGTCCGGCGCGCATATTGTCTTCGGTCATTGCAAGGCTGGTTCCTCCTCCGAATAATTCATAGAAGATTGTGAACACCAGGATAGTGTCCGGCTCTGCAAAATAAATTCCACATACCACCGTAGAGAGAATAATATTTACACAAGTTCAATCTGCTGACGTATTTTGTGGCGTGACGTCACACCACCACCAAGCCCTTACTCGAATTGTTTTTATTGTACCACCTCAGCGCGTTTAGCGAAGCGGTTTAGTTGGCACGTCTTGTCGAAGCAGAGATCGTGTTCCCCTTATTCCGGGATTCCCATCAATACGGACGTGGGTAACCCAACCGCGCCATTGATTGCGGCGCTTGGGAGATAAGCGAGTTTTATCAGGCTGGTGGGGACGCATGGTTTCGTCCACCCATATAAGGGGATAAAGATCTACCCTTTTACCTACGCCTTCTTCCTCCTTTGCTTATCCATCTCCGCGAACTCGAGCTCCAACGCCCAAGTCTGCACATCTCACCTCAACCTTCTCCAACTATGTCCGGAGCGGGAGGTAAGTGGATGGCCTCCTCCGTTACGGAGGGGCACATCCAGAAGCTGCGCAGCGCCGGATATCTGTCCAGCGACATCACGCACCGGCTCCCCGACGAGGGGGAGCTCATCCCCACCCCCAGGCCCCATGAGAGGGTAGTATTCCTTTCCCATTTCCTCCGCGGACTGGGCTTCCCACTCCATCCCTTTGTCCGGGGGCTCATGTTCTACTACGTCCTGGATTTCCATGATCTGGCCCCGAATTTCATCCTCAACATCTCGGCGTTTATCTCGTGTGTGAGACCTTCCTCTGCATCCAGCCCCACTTCGGCTTGTGGCTCAAGACCTTCAGTGTCAGGCCGAAGGTTGTGAAGGGCAGCCAAGCAGAGTGCGGAGGCGCCATGGTGGGCAAGATGCCCAACGCTACTTGGCTCGAGGGCACCTTCGTGGAAACCATCAAGGGTTGGCAATCAGGGTGGTTCTACATCACCGAGCCGCGTGACCCTGAATGTGCAGCGACCCCCAAATTCAGATCTGGCATCCCCATACGGCTCACCTCCTGGAAAGAGAGTGGCCGGACATGGGGTGATTCGGAGGAGCTGACCGAACTTCAAGCCTGCATACAAAAGTTAGTGAACAAGAAGCTCAAGCTTGTCAACATAGTCCAGGTCATGCTCATCCGTCGGATTCTCCCGTGCCAACAACGGGACTTTAATATGTGGGAGTTCAATTCGGCGCA